CTCTGAGTGGTCTTATTGAAGATTTCTCAAATCTTCACTCTGCACACTCAACACATTAATCAAGAAAGCCTCTGTGTTCCACTTTTGCATATATGGGTTTCTGGTTTCCCTTCTGGTATACTTTGTTGTGGCAGAAAGATTTCTTTAGAATATTATTTTACCTGACTATGCTCCCAATTTGGAAACAGAATTAAGCAGAGATAAGCAGGTTCTTTGAAACCTGACCAGGTGACCCATCCTTCAGAAATGTGTCTAACTTGCAGCTGTGGGACATATGAGTTCCAAAATGGATACAAATGTGGTTTAAAACTAAGCCATAACCTTCTTAGGACATCGTGAGGTTTTATAACTCTTTTTGAAAATAATTTGATTGTGTAGTTCTTGAATGTGAAGAGTATAGATGACAACATGGTGTTGTCATGTCAAAAGGTTGGACATGCCTAAGGGCCTGATTTCCATTGGTTGGACTGAAGGAAACTGCATTTTCTACACACCTCTCTTCTTCATTTTGGGGGCAGGAGGAATTGGACACATACTGAAAGAAAGTTACAAAAGTTAGCATTGTCTCACTGTGTGCTAACAACTCCCTCATTAACAAGGTGAAATAGTTTCCTATTTCTCTGGGTTATTTCTTTCCTTTTTTTACTCTTTATTGAATTTTTGAGAATTTCATATAATATATCTTGATCATATTTAGATTACCCCCATTATCCTTATTACCCCCTACACAACTTCAAGCACTTTGATATATATTGCGGTCTATAGAATTAAAGTTTTGTTCCCAAATGCCCTTCAATGTGGGTTCATCTGCTAGAGCCTGGCAACCTACCAAGAATCTCACCCCTAAATGAGACTGACTCTCTGCCTCCCAGTAGCCATTAGTTGCCAGTACTTTTTTTTTTTTTGTGGCTTCTTACCCACTTCCCTACATCTCTGCTGGGATTTTGCCTGGTTTGAGCTGAGGTGGGACTTGTTTGGGTTCTTAATTGTGTAATTTCAAGTACATAGATGAGGTGGAAGCCTTTTGCTTCTAAGTCTTTGTTTTCCTCCTTGGGGCAAGATATCAATCCAAGTTTTGAAACTAGGGCAGCATCCAACAAATGAAAAATGAAATTCCCTAAAGAAAATGAGCTGGGAGAGTCTCGGAGTCACTTCCACTACAATGCTAGGAAAACAAACAGCCAAGTAAGTGTTGCTAATCCTATCCCTGCTCTGAAGATTTTGGTATTTAGGGGATGAAGAAGTGAATCTAATGAGGCCAAAAAATTTACATTCAACCCTTTAAACGATGTACATAATTTATCAGGATATAAGTCAGTAAGAACTCTCAGCATGATTTGAACTTGTGTAGTATAATCCTACCTATAAAATATTTCTTTTGTTCTACTAGAGAGGTGAAGATACTCCCAAGGCCAACTCACAGACTTGGCCAAAAGGCTCCTATCCCTCGCAAAGTTGGTAAGTCACACACAGCCCCTAACATTCCTTGTGGGGGGGAAGCGAAGTCTAATTTAGATAATCCCTTCTGCAAAGTATATTAGCTGATTCAAACCAGACCTTATTGACTAAGGTATGTCGCTCCTACATTTCAGAGATGCCTCATTGTAGAACTAGTTTCTTGTTGATTCTGGAGGATTAAGATTCATATAAAGGGTAGGTATGGGTGATCAATTAACTATCTGTAAAAATATAGTTTCATATCTGACTATGGCCTTCTCTCCACTTACATGGAAGGAGCAGTTTCTTTGCTGTCTTGGCAGCAGTACTTGGCAGAACTGTTCTCATTCCACTGCGCATATGAAAACAAACAATAACAGCAAATGGAATAGGGGAATATGCTATGTATCAAATGGATATTTTTGGTTTGTTTAAAGAAAATCACTAAAAAATGGTGCAAGGAAGAATATTCGTGACTGAAGAGTGGATGCCACACCAAAACGCCATTGCATGCATTGCCCACTTCCATGGGAAGACACACAGCTAGAGACAACAGCAAGGCTGGGAGCTACACCTACTTGAGATACCATCTGGGACCACATGCAAGGCAATGCCATACTCAAGTGGCTCTGAATCAAAAAAGAAAGGGGTATCAAGGAGGGGTACAAGATGCAAGTAAAACACTGCTAGCATGAGCATACAAATGTATTTTGAATTTTAATTCAAGTCCCTGAGTTCTATTCAAGATTCTTCCAATACTAGAAAAAAAATGCTATGATCCTGAAAACTTAATATTAGCAATAAATGCTACATATTATACATGGAAGAAAACTTGACTTTTCTGTAGAAATCAGAATTTAATCAGAGGGAATAAAGTCTTCAGCAAGTCATATGTGTTAGGAATCAGATTTCCCAGAGAGATTGATGATAAGAAGCCCCTTAGATGTGACCCAGAATAGTGTTCATTGAAAGAGCAATTCACCTTTGTTTTACTGAAATAAATAGGGACAGCTTTCAACCAGTATGCCTATATAGCCTAATCCTATCCATAAAAGATGCTACCTTGTTCTGACAAGGAGGTGGTCAACACTGCTGAGGGTTGACTCACAAACTTGGTGGTGAAGGACCCTATCATACTTTATGTGACTAAGTCAGAAAGCCACATGTGACCCTAAACACCCCTAGAGAGGAGGCACAACTTAACTTACAGAATTCCCGACTTTTTAGGTAAATGAATTAAAAATAATATTTCCTAGTAAGAATTATTGAGTAGTAAATGATAGCTGGTGTTATATAAAAAATAATGTCGGAAAGACCAAAGTCCAGGAATTAAAGTATAAGGATTATATTCTTTAGAAGTGAGAGAATGAATAATGTTAAATAGAGGTAGGAAAGCAGAAAGGAAAGAGAGCTAGAGAGGGAGAGGGAGAGAGAGAGAGAGAGAGAGAGAGAGACAGAGAGACAGAGAGAGAGAGACAGAGAGGAGAGAGGAGAGAGAAGGGGAGAAAGAGAGAGAGCACAAATGACATGTGACTACAACTTACAGTCAAAGACAGCAATTGTTTTTGTAGATAAGAATAGTCCTCTAGGCGTCCCACTTGAATCTATGGTACTCTAACAGTTAAACTATAAGATATAGACCAGGAGATGATGTACAACTCTCTAGGAGAAGCAGTGAAGTATGTAAATGCATGTTAGCAACATTATAGATAATAATCACGGGTGATAACAAGTCTACTAAAGGATGATTTAAAGCTATCCTAGTTTATTTCTATAAACAAATACCATGTAATTATTCAGACTTGTATTACAGGGATATTTTTATGGACATTTAAATGTCTCTCTCCAAAGAAAGTATGCTTTAAAATAAATGTGACAAAATTTTTCTAAGAATATATTTATACGTAGTGTTTAGCCAAATATTCAGCCATCTCTGTGGGATTGAGACTGGGGTTTTAAATGTTCCTTTCTGTACTTTCTCCTTTTTCTACAAAAATTTGAGTTATTTCTATAATCCCCAAAACAAATAAATGACTCAGAAAAATAAAATAACATTGAAATTGCTCTGCGCATTCAAAATTCCTAGACAAAGCTTTCATAGTAGATCTTGAAATACATGATTGTGAATAGGGTTCACACTAGCAAGAAAGTTAAAGCGTATGGCAGTGACCCTAAATTGAAGCTGACTAAGCTAAAGTATACCTGTTACATATGTGCATATTTCTGGTTATTGTGAAACTATGGTAGATAAATAGTAATTTTCAAAACGATTTTCAATTCCAGAACACTTTCGTGAGGCAGCCAGTTAAAGGTCAAGTTCTGTCAAGTTTATTTATGTTTATACAGTTTAATTCCATATCACCCTACAAGAATAAATAAATGTAAAACTTGGAAATATAAGTCACAGAGCACGAGTGGCCCCTTTCAGATGCTAAAAAGTCTCAGTTGGGTTCATTTTATTTATATAGAAGTTTAACTGTAATTGTTGGCACTGATGTTTACTTTTAGAATAAAATTGAGAAATCCTTTGAGGATGTAGATCACGTGAAGAAAGCTCATGTGAGGGTGAACAGAGAAGATCTAGCAGTGAAACAACCTGGATTCCGTTCCACATTCTGGCATTAGCAAGCTGTGTGACCCTGGACAGGATCCTTACCTGGTCTAAATCTCTGGTCCTTCTATAAAGTAAGAGGAGAGTGAGCAATCCACTTAGATGCTTCCCTAACTTGGAGTAGAGAGGAGAGCCAGCACCACCAGTACAGGGGCATTTAACTACTTTCTACCAAGGGTGTAGTCTTTAACTCCATGCAATGTAAAAAGATGAAACTGATTCAAGTCAGGCAAATATTCAGAAGAAAATGAAATGAAATAGAAGTTACTTGTTCTACAGAAGCCAGGGCCTTGATGAATTTTCCATCACCAAGGTTAATGACTTCAAAATGAGCTAGTGTTTCACTGTCCCACTTTCAAGGTCTCCTTGTGACATTTCATTTATCTGAGAAGTCTCATACTTTAGAAAACACAATAGTGTGATAATGTATATAAATCTAACCAAGCAAATTTATTGTCCAGGGTAAATGACTAAAAATACCTTCTTAATTGTCTTTATAGGCAAATATTTTCCTGAAAAGAACTATAAATGTTTGTTTCTTGCTTGTGTAAGATCTCTGAATTTGGTCATCTTGCCTTTTACAAAGATCCCAAGTATAGACCGAGCGGTTGAATGAGTGACATTTCAAGAATTCGAGACATTGTCCTTTTCTCTAAGGCAACAAATCTGATTCTTCTGGGAAAAAAAGTGTCATAAAATCAAGTAATTATTGTAGCTATGGTAACATTTGAAAAATTGCTCATTGCAGAAGTAAATACAAAAGAACAAGTACCTCAAGAATGTCAGCCACAGACTATTGATCTTATTGTTGATACACTTACTGTTTTTGTCTAATATTCCTTTTCATTTTTATATTTTAAGCCACTTCAACTTTAATTTTTAAGAGTTTTTGGTATGGTAGAGGATACAAAGAAGCACATACATAAATGTTTTCAGACTGGAAAGGCCTTACCTGTTTTTCTCATGGATCTTCAAAATTTCATTTGTCTGCTGAAGAAGTTGCTTCTCCAGCTTGTATGTTGAGAGTGAATTCTCCAGGAGTTGTATTTCAAGTCGAGATGTTTGATTTAGCACCTTAAAAGATTTTTAGAAACAAATTTAATTACAAACTGAATAGCAGAAAATCAATGAGCTTTGAGGTATTTGTTTTCAAATAATATTTTTCAAATCAATTAACCGTAGGTTGCCCATTCTGCTTACTACTGCTTATAAG